AGGTCCATGGGGTGTCCCCCTTCCCCTTTTAGAGGTGGGGAAAGGGAGGCACCCCACGCACCACCACCCCTTCCCCAAGCAGCTCCGTGACCCAGCCCAGACTCTCGCTCCCCGTCCCAGCATCACACAAACCTGCGCAGCCCCTCTGTGAAGGACAACGTGGCCTTTGGGGCCTTTTTGGCTTCTACAGACAGATGGGCTGAGGCCAGAGAAGTGGCATGAGCCTAAAGGCAAAAGCTCCCCAGAAACCAAAAAATTATTTGCTCATGGTGTCTTCCTCATGTAGCAACACAAAGTGAGGGCAATGAGTCTGTCCAGATGTAACGAGCAGAGAAATAGCATGGGGGAAGCTGGTGGGGTGAGAGACCATGGAAGGAAAAGCTTTTATGGCAGAGAGCAAGTCCCACCTGCCTTCTCTGCCGCACCTTGAGAAACCAGCACCTCTACACCATGTGCCATAGCTGTTCCTGTGGCACAAACGGTGTCACAAGCACAAAACAAAGGTCAGAACCTCATCCTTGAGACAGTAAAACATGAGATCTTGCTAAAACTGGGCCATAGAAGACACCCCTCCTGCACAAACAACCCAGGAGCCCACCAGCATCACATCTTCTGGGCACCCTGGCTCCAGCAATTCCCTTCTCCCCCTCTGTCCCCATCACTGTGGCAGGAGGAAGACCAGGGCTGCGGGAGCAGGTCCACGCTCCAGGTGGGCACTGATTCCTCCAAACACATTGCCACCCCAAGTAAAAGACAGCTCTACTTACTAGCATAATCTGTCTTGAAACACGAGCTGCAAAATTCACAAGCAGATTGACACCATCTTCTGGCTTCCCCGGGGCTGCCGCCTGCTCCGTGGAGAGTCTCCTCCGCCGTCTGAAACGACGCTGCTGGAGGAAGCGAGGTGGATATTCCTGTGCCACCTCCCACAGCAGCAACAACTCCACAGAACGGAGTGAAGCCTGTGTTGGTGCTCAAGGTCTCTCACACCTGAAGCAGTTAAGCCTGGAGGATGTCTCCCTGTCCAAAGGGAAGCAGCAACAACAACAAGGCTTTTCCCACCCTGCTCCCTTCCTCAGAATCACGGAAGATTCATGGTTGGAAGGGACCTTTGAGATCATTGAGTCCAACCACAAAAAACACCCCAAACCAAAACAAAAAAAAACACCAACACACCCACACCACACCCACCCACAGACAGACACAAACCAACAATCCCGGGCACTAGAGCATGCCCTGAAGTGCCATGTCTACATGTTTCTTAGATACCTCCGGGGATGGTGACTCCACCACCTCCCTGGGCAGGCTGTTCCAGTGCCTGACCACTCTCTCAGTAAAGTCATTCTTCCTAATATCTAATCGAGACTTCCTGTGCTGCAACTTTAGACCATTTCCTCTGGTCCTGTCATTATTCCCTTGGGAGAAGAGGCCAACACCCACCTCTCTACAACCTCCCTTCAGGTAGTTGTAGAGGGCAATGAGGTCCCCTCTCAACCTCGTCATCTCCAATCTAAGCATGCCCAGTTCCCTCAGCCTTTCCTCGTAGGACTTGTTCTCTAGACCCCTCACCAGCTTGGTGGCTCTCCTCTGGATGCACTCCAGCACTTCAATGTCCTCCTTCCAGCCCTGATGCTTGGGCCCACATCCCGGACCCACAGAAGATGACGATGAAGTTCTTGCTCATTTTGGCAGGGTCAGCATCTGCCCTCACACCCCTGCGCATCCAGCAGCCCCCCTGCCCCCTCACACACACACCCCTCAGCCCCACGCTTGAACACCACCGAGAACGGTGACACCAACACCACAGACCAAAGCCATCCCAAATGGTCACGTGTGCTTCCACACCAGCACGGCAATCGTCTTGCCAAATCATTAGTTAGAATGAGCCAAACTTCGGCTAAAAGAAGCACACATCCCCCCCAATGAAACATAAAAGCACCTTTTTCATAGATAATTATTATTTGACCCAATAGAAGAAATGAAGATGAAAAATTAAACCCCTGCTGCCGTAGCATTATAGGACAGTTCTATCCACTGTGCAAACTGCGTAATTCCCATTCATATTTCAGTCAAACCTCACAATTAAAGAGCACTTCCCCTTCCAGCAACACCCAATATAAGCAAATCAATCAATTCCACTTGTTTATATTACAGTGTAAAGGCTACGCAGCCCCTTGCTAAGTTTACTGTAGAACAAGCCAGGCATTAATATCCCTGCCATCACAAAACTTCAGGGTTTATATGGATTTGATGGACTCAACATAATATTTCAGTGTTGAAATGCCCCCTGGAA